CTTTAAAAAATCCATAATATTTTCCATGAAAGAACATAATCTTTAGATTTTGGATAGTATATTTGGAAGTCTCTTCAATATTATTTTAATTAGATTTTTAGATTTTTTAGATGTTTTGAGGTTTTTTTAGATTAACAGTCAATGTATTTTTTACTTGTTTAGACTCATATGAGGTTTTCTGGAGAAAGTTTTAATTATTTTGAAGAGAAATCGATGCTTAGATTCTTATTTACACATTTTGAAATATATCTAATGTAATTTTAATTAATTTTGAAGTAATTCTCGATCATCTGTAAGTACTTGATGTCGGCAATAAATCTGAAAAAAACAATTAAAAAATAAAAACAATTTTTTCGTTTAAAAATGTCTGCCACATTTTAATGAAAAATCCGAATAATTTTTTAAACAATTTATTTACGTATTTAGAAGCTATTAATGCTTCTTTGTACTTTCATTTGCATCGTACCGCAACAGGCAACTTTCTTTAACATTTCAAGTAAAATAATTTAAAGTGATCAAGTTTTTTAACTAAAATTCTAACAAGAATCTAAAAAAGGATCAAATTAACCAGAAAGAATACTCGAGAATAAATAAGCAAGGCACTTATCGAGAATAATTATGTCGATGGGTCATCTAGTCCTTAAGGTTTTCCTCAATCATCCCTTAATATCTTATGGCTAATGTTTATAAATGGTGTAACTTCTCTTTGCTTCTAAGCATTATAATCCGAGTGTCGTTTGTGCTAAGCTCTAAGAAAATATTGTCACGAGTTAACAAATTGCCAACCATTTTTCACATCTTGCAACCCTCAATGTACCATAAAAACCATATTCATTCGATAAGAACCAAATAAATTATTTTTATTTCATAAATATAATTCTTTTCTTACTTTTTCAAGCGTAAATTGTTGCTTTTTATACTGTTTTTTTCTAGTTTTTGAACTTAATTCCGCTGTTTTAACTGTGGTAAGCACTACTCTAAAATGCTTTAAATGCTGTTCCAGAATTGTCTCAAAGCCCTCCAAGATGTCGAAGAATGCTTCAGAATGTTCTTCAAAATATAATAAAGTGCTCCAAAATTATCGGATATTTCAAAATTTCAGTGATGCAAACAACAATTACAAAGCATCAATACCCTTAAATACTGTAAGAAGTCTGCTCACAACACTCAATTTAACAATTTTACAAGTAAAAGTACAATTTTTTGAATCGATTTTATATAAAAATATCACTTTAGATGTTATAAATAGGGGTAGACTATCTTCAGATTCTTTTATTTTCATGCTATATTAAGATTGAAAAGAATTGTGACAAGGATTTCTCCAGTGAGAACCTTCATCTGATAGAAGATGCTATGACATTATTTGCAAAAGAACGTGGAAATATATACAGAAAATATCATTCAGACGTATCCTAAAGAAACTAATTAAGCAATTAGTAAGAATTTATTTGCTTTTATCATTGGGGTTGTCTGGATCACTTACGAGTAAATTATGTACAGATAAATTCGAAGAATGCCCAAAAATTGAAGCGTGGTTTAAAGATTTGAATTTTTGCAAATTGGATTCAAAAATATTTTAATTCAAATGCATGTTGTAAGCATGAAAATGAAGATTTTCAGCAACGTTACTTAATGGTTATTTTCATTATTGTCTCATTTTTCTTCGAAGAAAGTATTTTTAATGGACTTAATCTATCTTTCCATTGATCGCAGATACAAGATTAAGCTGTCAATAAACTTTTTATTTAATCTTTCCTCTAGGGGAGATCAAAAGTGATTGAAAAGAATACGATGCAAAGGAAGATATTTCAGTCAATTTTGTTAATTATGAAAGAAGAATTTTGTTTGATAAAAGTAAAGTTTTTCTATAAATTTCATCACTCTACAACTTATAATCATCTGTTTTTTGTGATATGACTCTTGAAGACACAATCTGGTCTGTAATATGACTTGAAGTTGCTGTGATGTGATTCTTAAAAGCTCTATGGTTCTTGAAGATTTTTTACTGTGTAATATGGCTCTTAAGAGCTCTTCTAGCTGTCTGATGACTTTCAAAGACCCTCTGGTCTGTAATATAGTTCTTGAAGGCTCTTTTTGCTCCGTAATTTGGCTCTTAAAAGTCCATTTTTACATTAAAATATATTGTTTTATGAGTAATTTACCATCTTGTTCTCATAATTTTGAACTTTACACATATTCCAAGTTTCAATTATTAAAAAAATAACAAAAAAATACACACAAAACGATAAATTCTGCTTAAGAAGAGAAGACATCTTCAAGCACGTACTTAATTATTTTAAATTAATTTTCAGTACTAATTAACTAATTTAGCACGCAAAATTGAGCTAACTTGGCCACTGTATCAAAAATGTAAGCAAATATTCATGAAAATTCTACATTAAAATAGAGAGTTAATGTAAGAATTTATAGGGAAGATGGAGGGTCAAAAGAAGAATTAATTATCAATAAAAATCCATTTTATAAATAAAATAATCTTTATTTAGTAGAAAGATTTATTTGAATTAAGAATTAGGACTTCATTCTAATAAAATACTTTAATTATATTTACATTCAAAGACTTTCTATTCACAGAATAACATATTAAAATGGAAAACTTGGTAATAATCTTGTTTAATTAGAAATCTTCTATGGATAATTAAATCCTTAATCCTTGTTTTATTTGAATTTCTATCAAAAAATACACTTTCTAAACAGAATCAGAAAGGATTCTTTTATGTAAATGCGATGAGAATTTCGTAATTCTAAAAGTAACTCGAGCCATAAAATCGAAATAAATTTACCTTTCCAACTTTCGATATTTTAATAATAAAATTGCTTCGTTTATATCTTTATCATCTTATAAAAAATCCATTATGATAATGAAGATTATTTTAAAAAAATACATTCAAAAAAATTGCTTTTTTAAATATAAATTTCAGTCTTTGTATACAGCAAAGCTGGACACCTCGAGTTGGAGGTTTACAATCTTCTAAATAAAACAACCTTTATGGCAATAAAATCATTTAAAAAATTTAATTAAAACGCTTTTTTGTATAGATTTAAATGTTAGGCTATAATAAAACCCCTCAAGAACCTGTGAAGTTGGACACCTCTTAAGTTGGACACCTCTCAAATTGGGCCCACCGTCTTAAAAAAATGCTTATTCAATTAAAGATTTTAAAGAAAAATATACTAAAACTGCTGAATTTTGACACCTCTAGATCACATAAACCCCTGTAAATTGGTCATTATTAATTTGAATCAGAGACCACTTCTGTAAATTGCACGCCTCTTACAGAAGTGTAATACTTATAGAGATTTTACTGTATTTTAATTATTGTTTAAATTTGGATTAAGTTGACGTGTGTAGTGTTAATGAGATAAATTTTAGTAATTATCTGTCAGAGGATCGTAAATAAAATCGTGTTAAATCTAGTTAATTAAAATATGACGTTTTTCGTTATTTAATCTTTGGAATTTAATGCTCTAGAAGGTAACTAGAATGTAACTAGGAGAGGAGAAAACGTGAAGAGTGATAGGAGCGTAACTAGTAACAATATTCTTATCAATAATTAACTAAAATCATGTGTTTTTGGATGAGAANAATACTGTTTGCTGTTTGTGTATTGATATTTTAAGTTTAGTTTCTAAGATGAAGAATTGTATACATTTATATATATTAACTGCATCAAACTTTTAAACATTAAGCGCACACAACTTTCATATATTAAGTGCATTAAACATGCCTCAAGAATTTGTAATGCTGCTGGAACGCCCACTAGGGGGCGTCCCGGGCCACTAGTTATATATAACTACGTTTAGTTAGGAGATGTCGGAAATTATAATTAAAACTATCTTTCTGTATGGATAAAGGAATAGGAACAAAAGCTATCTCAAGCTTAACTGAAGCATATAATGCTGTATTTACAAAAGTACAGCATCACAAGCTTCAGCTATATGTATATAATTACTCAAACTTCACAGTTCCTGACCTCAGCTATAATCAATTATACTGTATTTCCAAATATTTGGATATTTCTAGCAACAGTTAAAAAAAATTATGTGCAAATAAAATCGGAGACGATTTCTCCAATACATGAGCAAAAAATATAATTTTAAATATGCAAAATTATATTATATAATGATAAATATAGCGATGTGAAGCAGTATATGCTGGAAACTTTTAAAGTTTATTTGAAAATAAAACAATTTAATTACATTTTTAAGAGAGAAATTTTATAAAATATTTATTTAAAATGTTTCTAGTTTATTTAGAATATTTGAATATATTTAAATAAGTAATTTAAAATTGTTTTTTCCCTTCGTGTGTGCGGAGTAAAGTGGTTAGACATAATATTCGTTCTTATTCAAAGAACGAACTGTTTGCAAAGGTTATCATAAAAATACTTTAGATTATAATAATGCTGAGATTAATAAAACATTTCACATATTTTCAAACAAATTATTTATTCCATTAAAAAAGTAGTTTCCGTATTCAAGAAAATGAAGAAAGGAAAATGATTTATAACCATACATTCTTAATAAAGAAAAACGTTATACGAGAAACTAATTAAAATTAAAATTAAAATTTTAATAATAAAATGTATATCTTGAATTTAATTTTTATTAAAATCGAAGAATTTAAAGAAGATTAATTGCGGTTTTTAAAGTTTATCTATAAAAGTAATTTTATAAAAATTTAGTTTTTTATTATTAATTATAATAATTTTATTAAATTAAAACAAATTGACGCCTCGCAACTACATTTAACAATATTATATAATTCATTACGAACTTGTAAATGGTAATAAGTTAATTATTTTAAGTTAATTTGTATCGAAATAGAATTTCTACTCATTAAAATTTAACAGAAAATATTCAAATAAGTTCATTAATTCGTATCTACACATTTACCAGTTTAATTACATCGTATTAAACACGTGTTGCACACGTCCGTCCGTCCGTATGCGCGTCAAAATTCAACTAAAACTGCTCGTTACCTGTAAGTAAAGCACCAACTTGCACATGACTCCACCGAAGAACCAAGTTTCGGTGACGTCCCACAGAACGGAGGGTGGCAAACAAACCAAAATCACCAAAAAGTCTGCCACTGCCAAATTAACGATAAAGTAATTGGTGACGGTTCTCATGCTGTGGTTCCGGATATACATACGAGCGAGTTGCCAACCAGGCCCACAGCGAAGACCGTGATGTGTAAAGATATCAGCACCCATTCGTAGGGGGTGGGAAATATGTACGCCTCTATCATTTCTATGTAGTCCTCGTCGGAAACACAATACTCATTCGTACAAGCTGAGGTGTTCTCTACTTTAGTTTGATTGTTAAACTTCGATGACGTATCTTCGGTAGTGTACTCCATGCTACTGATTTTTCCTTAATTTTTTATTGAGTGAGTAAACTTTACTACGGCATATTCTACGAATAAACAATCAAAACGGACACCGCTCACTTCCAATTGTAATTTAAGGGCTTACGACACCAGAAAAGTGAAAGTTTTAGCCACTTATTTGAGTTGGTTTAATGAATTTTTGCAAGAGTTGGTTACTAACGTGTGTATCTGAAGCGAATAAAGCAGCTTGAACTGAATGATTGTGCGCAGTTTCGATCCCATATGGACATTCTCCTGTGACGTCACGCTATCTGCGTTGATCACCCTCTCTTTTGTCACCCTATAATTAATCTGCCTTTACTGATATTGAAGAAATTTCCTTTTAAATTAAAATATTATCGTTCGAATCTTGCAGAAATTTTGAAATTACTTCGACTCCTTTTTTACTTTTTTAAGACACCTCTCAAATTGGGCCCACCGTCTTCAAAAAATGCTTATTCAGTTAAAGATTTTAAAGAAAATTACACCCCTGTAAATTGGTCATTATTAATTTGAATCAGAGACCACTTCTGTAAATTCCACGCCTCTTACAGAAGTGTACTACTTATAGAGATTTTACTGTATTTTAATTATTGTTTAAATTTGGATTAAGTTGACGTGTGTAGTGTTAATGAGATAAATTTTAGTAATTATCTGTCAGAAGATCGTAAATAAAATCGTGTTAAATCTAGTTAATTAAAATATGACGTTTTTCGTTATTTAATCTTTGGAATTTAATGCTCTAGAAGGTAACTAGAATGTAACTAGGAGAGGAGAAAACGTGAAGAGTGATAGGAGCGTAACTAGTAACAATATTCTTATCAATAATTTACTAAAATCATGTGTTTTTTGGATGAGAAACTGGAAAAACATTCTTAGAAATAAGTATAAAAAGCTAATTTTCTGTACGCGTAACTGGGAAAGTTACGCGTACAGAAAAGGTAAATAAAACTAATATTTCTGTACGTATAACTGGGTAAATAACTGCTATAAACGAGTAAATAAAGGTAATATTTTTCTACGCGTAACTGAGAAAGTTACGCGTACAGAAAAGGTAAATAAAACTAATATTTCTGTACGTATAACTGGGTAAATAACTGCTATAAACGAGTAAATAAAGGTAATATTTTTCTACGCGTAACTGAGATAGTTACTCTTATAAATAGGTAAATAAAACTAACATTTTTGTACCCGTAACTGGGAAGAATATATTATAAATCAGTAACTTAAAGTCGTAAATTTGGATACGTAAATAGAAATAATACTCTTAACATTTAATTACAAGTAACTAAGAATACGTAACTTAATGCTAAAACCATTTCTTACGCGTAACTTAATGGGAAATTGCGAAATCACAATTAAAAATTTTTTGGAAATTTAATTTAAAAAAATATATTTTTAACTACGTTAGATAGAAAATTATAACAAATGATAATTAGTTTAAACACGAATTCATTAAATTCGCATTATAAAAAAGTGGAAAGTTCTGAGAAATTTATTTGATATTAAATCACATTTTAAATGTAATTAATTTTAAAAAAATTGTAAATTATCTAACAATAACGATAGGTGACATTATAAAGGGTTATTCGTCATTAAACAAATTTTTTTTTCTTTGGTTATACGATCCATCAACGTCACACAATGAATCAAAGACACTATCACAATAGAAAACACTATCAGAAACAAAGTTACTCGTAAAAATCCATCACCACGTGACTCCGACAGGCCTCAAAATCACGTGATTCAATCATATAAATAAAAAAAATTGTATAAAAACACGATTATAAAAATTGCTACAATAAATTTCTAGAAGTGTGTAACCGCACGTTTCCAAAAATACACTAAATTCTAGAAAATTTACATAATCTGTAACTGCCCGATTCTAGAAATTTTGATCACGTGGTTCTAGATTTTCAAAATTATAATATGAAAATCAATTAATTTAGCATTTATGTAAGGTTTATTTCTCTTGAATATAATAAGTTAAATTAATAACTTAATTTTTTATTAATTAAAATTAAAATTAAAATTTTAATAATAAAATGTATATCTTGAATTTAATTTTTATTAAAATCGAAGAATTTAAAGAAGATTAATTGCGGTTTTTAAAGTTTATCTATAAAAGTAATTTTATAAAAATTTAGTTTTTTATTATTAATTATAATAATTTTATTAAATTAAAACAAATTGACGCCTCGCAACTACATTTAACAATATTATATAATTCATTACGAACTTGTAAATGGTAATAAGTTAATTATTTTAAGTTAATTTGTATCGAAATAGAATTTCTACTCATTAAAATTTAACAGAAAATATTCAAATAAGTTCATTAATTCGTATCTACACATTTACCAGTTTAATTACATCGTATTAAACACGTGTTGCACACGTCCGTCCGTCCGTATGCGCGTCAAAATTCAACTAAAACTGCTCGTTACCTGTAAGTAAAGCACCAACTTGCACATGACTCCACCGAAGNAGACTCAAATTTCGCTCTATAAATTGCGTACCAGCTGAAGAAAATTAGAAGTAGAGAGAAAATTATTTTGCGTGGGTTAGAAACCGAAGTGAATCTCTAATGGAACAAGTTATAATTAAGAAAGAAGACCCTCTCCATTGGATAGAAATTCGTTAAAGGTGAATCGAACCCCTTTACAGGATTGAACCCCTCTAAGCTAAATACGGACCGAATCATCTTCACAACAGAAACTGAACCTTTTACACAAGAGATTAAATATTCTTTATAATAGAAAAACTGAATTCTCTACTTTAAATAGAGACCGGATTCACGTTACGAAATAGGTTTATAGCTGTATATTAAATGGAGATGAAACTCGTTCTTTCAAAAAAATAGGAAAAAAAAAGACTTTTAAGAGGTGAGAAGCGAACCCTTGCATGAAAGGTAAATGAAGCAATCTTTACGAAATAGAAAGCAAACTTTGCCAGAAACAAATGCAAGTAACAAGTCGACTAAATCAGCATCATTCTAGTGTATAAATCACATCAATGAAACAAGGAATCAGACAAAGGTGAGAAACGAACACACAACTTTCGTGACCAGAACTCAGATGAATTTTCGTGAGCAACATTCGAGCGACGAATACAAAATGCTACTTAAATAATACACGAGTAAATTTTTAAAAATAAATTTAAATATACATCACGCAACAGAGAATTAAAAAGTTCCAAAAAATTGCATACAAAAAAAATTAAAAAATAACACCGAAAACAAATTAAATTTTGCATTTTTTTAAAAAAATAGTGAGAAAATGAAAATAAAAAAGAGGATTTATTATTATTTTTTAAAATTAAATTCTTAAATGATTTCTACTCTGTACCAATTTCATTTCAATCTTTAGGGAATTTATTTTCTAAAAAAAAATATATATATAAAAAAATCGAATTAATCTAGTTTCAATCTGAAGAAAAAATTCCACTCTTTGAATTGATAAAAGTCAGCAACGTCAATTCTGTTTCGTTGACGTTTTGTGTCAAATTTAAGTTGGTCCAACCGAAAAGAATCAAATAAATCCAATCGAAAATATTCGATAAACTGCGCTGACGACTCTTACAATTTTCTAAAAATGCAAAAAAATTCAAAATTTGTTTTCCCTTCCGGCCATTCAACACAATTAGAAATCAGTCAATTTACAATTCTTCTTCATCAAGATTAAATTTTAATTTTTACAAAATAGATGACCGGCACGACTCAGTTGTTATCGGGAAAAGTATGATATACAGGGGTAAGACATTACTAATTTGAAACCGAGAGCATATATCTACAATTTTCCTTTATGGAGATGAAATTTTAATTTTTACGAAATAAAATTTTACTGTAAATAATTTATTATATTGATTTATTAATTCGATTTTCTCGTATTTTTTGATTCTTATTAACAACATGCATTAAGTTGGAAGCGAATCTTTTATATTTATCTCAGCTGTCTAATGGAAGTGAGTTCTTATTGCACGAGACGTTCTTCGATCAATAATCAACTTTACCTATCCAAAAATCCCTATTTTTCCTATCATTTTTCGTGATTTTTTTTGATGTAAGTAACATATATTTGATTGAATTTCGAAATGATTTCATCTAAAAAAATCGGAAATTCGAATTTATTTTTACCTAAATAATTCTCGTTTCTTTAATTTTTGTGATTTTTCAATGCATTTTGGAAAAAAATTGATTGTAGACCTATAAATTCCCACTGTTTGTCTGCCTCCCTGTCCTTCCTTAATCTCGAGAATGGTGTTAGATAGAGACCAGATGAGGAAAGATTAGGGATAGATTACTATATACGAACTTCCGGTGCATACCGGAAGTTACGTGTTTAATTCAAAAATTTTCTCCACCACGGAGTTAAATAGATGACCGACATTACTCTGCCTGCTGTTAATAGGAAAGATATGATGTACAGGGGCAAGCCACTGATAATTTGAGATGGAGAGCATATATTTTAAATTAAATAAATTAAAAATATAATTTAAAAATGTAGTCCGACATGGTCACAATTTTTGATCGTTTTTGAATATATTTAAATTTTTATGGATGATTTTTATCTAAATAAATTATAAAATAAAGGGAAATTCGTTTTTTCTTCTAAAAATTGTCATTTCTACAATGTTTTTTTGAATGTTTTTGACGTAAAGGCATGATTTATTTAAATTTACGAGTGAGTTTTTTAAGAATTTAATCTTAAAAGTCATTATAAAAAATAAATTTTTGAATTGTTTATGTAATAAATGCTGATTTATATAATTTTCTTTGAGGTTTTTAAAAAAGTAGAACCTGTTACTGACGGAATCATAAAAAAAACTTTAAAGGTTTAAAGGCCGTTGTTTAAAGGTTATTTTGTATACACTTCTTTATAAAATTTGGCCGAAAAAATGGCCGCCGTTTCGAGATGCTCGTTGTTTAGAAGTGGCTACTATTTTGTAGGTTTTAAACGGGTACGCGACGCGAAATCGCGTCGCGCTGAAAAATCGCAAAGCTAAATCTATTTAATTTAATACTAACGAAAATTCTATTGAAAGTTGCGATTTACATACATTTTTTGCATTTTTATTAAAGAAATTCGCCAAGTATTTCGCGATTCATCACTTTAAATAAAAAAAAAAGGATCGGCGCACGCGACGGCGCGAAAACGTCAATTTATCAATATGTCAGCGAAGAATTT